AAGGAGGGAGCTGCATAGACATAAGGCCTAGAGCAGTGTGAGGCAGAAGGACCTGCAGCTTTTTGTGGTGGACAATACAGGTAGTTGGAGAGTCCTCAGAAGAAAACGTTTTGCCCACCAGCAATCCTCCCTCTGCAAATCAGAGTGTCATCCTGATTTGACAGAGGATGCATAGAATAGCACAGTTAAACATGTCTCCAGGCCCTGAGCTGAGCACCACCAGAAGCAGGAAAGGCTCACTGTGTTGTGTGACACTTGTGAGGAAAATCACCCGAATCCTGGAGTGGATTGGGCTTGTGTGGTGGGCTTTTGGAACTTCAGCAGTATACTCCAGGATAAATCGCTCCAGTTCATGGAAAATAACATCTGCTCTGTAAAATTAGAACAGAAATATAAAAAGAAATATTTCTGGAGGAACTGGGGAAAGTTTTAATTAGCTAGAGATAATAGTATAGCTCAGAAAGCTGCCTCTAACTCCCTTAACTGACAAGGAAGGAAATTTGCAACAAGGTAGGAATTTGTCGGGGTAAGAAGTCCTGCCCTTCTGTGCTTTTGTATGGAATCATTCCCACTACCCAGCACGTCACATGGAGCTCCTTCTTAAAATTCGTCCTTCAGGAGCACATTCTTTGTATGTAGCATGAAAATAACCAGTAGTAATAGAGCTGCAGGCGCTCATTGCATTTTGATTACGAGCCAGACACTGTAACCAGCCCTGATGGTAGAAACCATTGGCTTTAAAGATCCAACACTCTAGGGGAGAGGCAGGCAGGCCAGGGAAACAGTGCAGTGTGATTGTAGGACAATAGATCTATGATTGAAGTATGCACCTAGGCTGGTGGGGAGGGCCAGTAGTTTGGTCTTCCTTGCAGAGAGGGGGAGGGTGTGGTGCCCAAGAGACCAGGAGACCAGGCAGGCTCTGCAACTCTGGCTGCTCCTGAGATGACACCAAATACCTGTAGCCACACCAGCAGGCAGATGTGTGGCTCTGCCTCACCTGCGAATCCTAGACCACCAAGTAGCCAGTAAGGTCAGTGTTGGCTGGCATGAAAGCCAAAGAGTCAAGTATGAAGGACCTCGAGTGCAGGTCAGGGAGCTGGAACTGTATTTCAGAATGTGCCCTTGGTGAGTCTAGGCCAGAGGATACTGATTTTCCAGGGTGACCTGACCTCATGTGATGATCTTTTCCTGTCCCCAAACTTACATGTCACTTACTGTATTTTCAGGTACAGGGTATAGCAAATATAGCTCACATGACTGCTGTGGGTTATCCGTGGTTTAAATGTGTCCCCCAAAGATTCATGAGGAGGAAGTGCAGCCCCTAGTATGGAGCCTACCTCTCACCCCATGTTAGCTCTGGGGAGACAGCTGTTACCATCAGAACCAGGTGGCCCTACCCAGTTCTCTATGTGGCTTCCTGTACCGTTGCCATCTGCCATGACGTGACACAACCAAGGCCCCAGCCAGAGCTGTGCCAGTGCCTTCCCCATCCCATCAGCTGCTTTAAAGCCAACCAAACCTGTTTTCTTCATAAAGTTAGCCTGCCTCAGCTATTTCACTGTAGTAATGAAAATGGACCAATTCAGTGGCTTGAACACTAACATGATTGGTCTTGAAAACACTGTGCTAAATAATACATTCTCTTACATGAGGCCCCAAAGGGAGTCGGATTCACAGAGGCAGAAAATGCTGTGCTGGTTTCCAAGGGCTGTAAAGTTACTGTTGAACAGGGACAGAGCTTCAGTTTTCTAGGATAAAAGGTAGTGGCCACGGTCTTGCTGCGGTGTGAGCGTTCTCAGTGCACTGAACCACACAGTCCAAAACGTTACAGTGGCAAGTTTTCTGTTGAATTTCATCACAAAATAACTCCCAAAAATGACAGGGACCAACAGAAGAGACCTCATTTCATGACAAACGTGTAGATAGAAGAGCTTTGGACTTGGTTAATTCCCAGTTCACCAGCATCCAAAAGGGACCCAGCTGTTCCCATCTCTTACTCTGCTGCACGTGCCCTTGGGCCCCACGAAGGCATCCCTCTTGGTGGGAAGTCGCTTTCCACTCGTGGAGAACCAGACTCTCAGCACCACAGGGCTGCACCACCCAGGCTGCAACCCCAGTCGCTCTACACTGAGACTTCCTGGGGCGATTTCCCTACTCCAGCCATCACTCAAAGTCAGTTCACCATAAGGAGAAAGAAAAGTCCATTTTCTACTGAGAATGAGTGAGTCCAACTGCGAGCTTCCTGCTCTTGTTATTTGGGGGGAAAGCCAAGTTTAGGAGCTCACACATAGCTGGCCAGTGGGAGAGGAACGGAAAGCTCTGGGTGAGGCTCCCAGCACCTGTTCCCTGCCCAGGGATTGGCCAATAACGGCTTCCTGATGGCTCTCTCTTCTCCTCCTCCCTGATTGCACTGAGATGTTTGGACACATCAAGCTCTCAGCGAACATAAAGAAAACATGCTCCTCCTCATGAGGTTTTTCATTTTCTGTATTGAAGTATAACACTCACAAGGAAGTATGAAATCTCAAGGCAACTCAGTTAGGATTAGTGTGCATACATTCCCTCAGACGCGTTCCCCAGACCACCAGAAACTTCTTCCAGACTTGTCACGTGACCACTGTCTGACTTCCGCACAATACAAGCAGCCTTGCCTGTGCCTGAACTTGGAGGAAAGGGAACGTGGCTTGATTTTGCACACAGGAGTGGGATGTGCAGTACACCGCGCTGTTGCAAGTAACTGCACTTGGGGTAATCATACTCCTTTCAGTGAATGTACGAGGTTTTCTGTTCTACTCCTGATGGAGAGTTGGGTTTTTCTGGTTTGGAGATTTATAAATAACATGCCTTTTCTTGGAGATTTATAAATAACATGCCTTTTCATGGACGTAAGCGTTTCTGTTTCCACGCTGGAGTGTCATTGCTGGGTTGTGGGGCCCTTGGGAGATATAGTGAACAATGCATTTCTGTCTGGGAATCTTCGTTCTTCACCGAGCCTGAGGTGCTGGCCCGCCCACTATTCATGGTGTCCTTTTCCTCTTGCTTTACATCGGAAGTGGGAAGTAGTGATAACAACAGGAAAAAATGAAGAGCTGCCCTTCGGGGAGCCCGGTTAACCTTCTCGGGTGCTAGGAAGTTCCCTGGGGACCAGCTCTGCTGCCTCCACCACCTCTGCTTCACTTGTGGAGAACCTGACTCTCAGCACCACAGGGCTGCCCCAGCCAGGCTGCAACCCCAGTCACTCTACACTGAGAGCTTAATGCTGAAAAGATCTTGAGACAAATGTAACGGGAAATGCGGTCCCAAATATTGATCATTTGGGTTAAACATTGGGATAGACTTGAGAAAGCTAACAAGCATTGATTTCCTGCTGGGAACTTTTGTCTTCCTATTAATCTATTCAGTAAAAATTTATTAGACACAGTCAGTACCCATGGCTGGAAACCCAGTGGCAGGCTGGATACCCTAGAACTGACACCCTGACACAGCCACTGCTGTGCCCAGCACTTGGGAACCACTAGGGTGAGGTCAGCAGGCTGAGGGCAGAGAGGCTGCAGCTAGGGGAGGAGCCAGGGACAATTCAAATTGACCTTGACCATGGCACTGGAAGTGAGAGGAAGCCAGAGATGTCACCAGCCGGCCAGTCAGAAAACCCTCCCAGTCGCTGCAGCTGCACCGTTCTTCGGGGATTACCTTCTCCCACCTCTGGCCGAGGGCACATCAGTCCTTCGACTTACTCCTCAGCACTCTAGAGACATAGGTCGCCTCTTTGAGGTGAGAAAACAAGGCTGGGGAAGTCAGAAAGAGACTCAGATCTCAAGTCCGCATCTCCCAGCCCCAGCGCCCCTGCTCTGAGCCGCGGCTGCGAACTCTCAGGAGTCAGACTGTGTCCCAGCTCAGCTTCTTAGCTGCGGTCAGGTGTCCATCATAGTCATCGTTTAGAAGAGGGTCCCTCAAACTTAGCCTTACACAGATCGGTTTTAAAGGGAGACCAATTCCAGCACCCTCAGTGTTGACTGAAGTCAGTGAAAGTTCCGTAAACATCGGGCCATAATAATCAGTACCTAGCAGCTTTCTGTCTGCCTTTTCTGACACAAAACTCCTAAGGTCTTGGAATTTCCTTGGCATAGGAGGTGACTCTTGGTGGCACTCTTGGTGGGGGCTGCTTCCCAAGGAAGCAAGCCTTAATCAGCAGCTTGGAGCCCTTAGCTCCACCCCCGTGCTGGGGAGCAGCAGGCTCTGGAAATTGAGGTAATAAATAATCCTGTCTATACCATGGAGCCCCCATTAAAAAATCCCTAAATACCTGGGTTCTGAGTCCTCTCCTGATAGGTAACACATTACCTTCCTCCGGCTGTTCATCTGTGCCCTTTGTCATGTCTTTTAATGAACCAGGAAACAGGACACAAATGTTCCTCTAAGTTGTGCAAGCCCTTACAGCAAATTCTGTCTCCAAGGTGGGTCTGCAAGAGCCCCCTAAATGTAACCAAGTCAGACAGAATATCCACATGTGCAATTGAGGTCTGAGGCTGAGGACAGTTTTGTGAGGCTGAGTCCCTGCCCAGGCCAGTCCAGCACACTTGCCTCCAATAGCTGGGCAGGGAGAGACTGGCCGGGGCTACTGCCTGTGCCTTGGACTCCTCTGATCTGGTTGGCTGTTCGTACCTTTGCTCAGAGGGCTGGGTGGGGCAACCAGGTACCATAGACAACATTCACCAGTCTCACACTGCATCCTGTGACCCACAGATACATGGGTCAAACGCCACCTGCTGTGTTAGCATCAGGGGAGAGAGATTTATTTCTCCCACACAGCAATTGCTGTGTTTGCATGCAGCCTGATTCAGCCTGTGAAAATATTCTAAACTTATTAAACAGGGATCGATCTGGAATGGGGTTTGGCCTGTGAAGGGGAATGGGTGAGGGCGAGGCAGAGGCAGTTGCTGATCTGGGCAGACGGCTACCGGAGCACTGATGAGACCTCTCTCACTTTGGCTTCTCCACAGGGGTTGGCACCAGGAATTACTACAGGAAGATTGGCTACAGGTTACAAGGCCCATACATGGTGAAGATGCTGAGATAATGACACAGTCCCCTCTCATGCGGCACCCTTCCTGGCAGAACATGGCAGAGCAGCAAAGCAGACAGACCTCCCTTGTCCCCCGGCCACAGAGACTGGAAACTGTCACAGGAACCCAGAGCACCCCACCTGTGTGTACCTGAGAAGTGGCTTCGGTTTTTGAGGCTTAAATCATTTCTCTAGTTTTCACGTTCTGCACTGGGCTGCCGGTGACCTGTTTTTACTCACTGACAAGAGCAGATCAACTCATTTAGACCGCGTAGCCCAGAGAGTAGGACTTGTGATAAGTATTTGAGGAGCGGCCTGGGGGGGGGGGGGCGGCTATTTATATACTCTGGGGGTGAAAGTCAGGTTGAGAAGCATAAAAACCGTCACACTCGCCTCTCTGGCCCTTAACTACATAATGCATTCACCCAGGAGTTAAGAAAATGAGCTTTTGTGTTAATGGAAGTCGTTCCCATTACTGTGCTGATGCTTTGACAAGAGGCTGACAAGGAAAGTGGAGTTAAGCTCGGGCTTCATGTTAAACTCGGGAGCTGTCGCCAGCCCCTGCCGTGCACCCTGCGCTGGGCCTTCAGGGCCTCCTGTGCCCAGTCGTGACTGTGGGAGCTTCTCACACCCTGGCGATGCAGAGCAGTGTGGTCCCAGAGAGCCCTAGGCTGCTTGTGCCTCTCCAGTGCAGGCAGGGTCCAGTGGTCAGAGGTGTGACCTCCAGCCACCATACTGTTCCCTGCATTTCCTTCTCGGTGGGTGTTGGTTTGTGTTAAGGGAGAAAGGCAAAATTTCAGCTCAGCTATGACAGCAAAAAAATAAATGGAAATTGGGCCCAACTATGAAAATAGGGGATGACTGGTATTTTTGAAGGTGCATCTCGTAAAGCTGCTTCTTGAGACCCCCAGGGACAGCATGGCTCCACTCTGGCCCCAGTGTCATGTCCTCACAAAGTCTAAAGGCCTGAAAATAAAGTCTTGTACACAGGAAGGAGAATCGTGTGGTTTTGGTGTTTGGTTTCCGTGCTCTGTAAAGGCAGTAACGTTTGCCCTGATGTACAGGTTCCAATTTCCAACCTGTGACACCGCTCATTTTCTCCTGGGAGCTTTTTGCCATTTCATTAGACTGCTACCAGGCAAATGGCATGGCTCTCTACGGGTGCGCAGTGGCACACCAGTCACTCCCTGTAAGTGTGCCTTAGGGAATTCAGCTACTTCTCAATTAGGCTCATTTTCCCTGTAAGAGTACAACCACTAAAGCAACACACTGGATGTCACACACATTCCAGGAAACAGCTCACCACCTGCAGCTTGCCCCGGGGACACAGCCTCAGGGCCTCCAGTGGGCCTTTTCTTCATTTACCCAGTTGGGACAAATGGCACAGTGGCCCAGAAAGTCCTTTGGGAAGGGTTTGTGCAAAGTGGTGTGCATGGTGTTCATTGTAGAAGGTGGTGATGCAGCGCCCTGGGGGCCCTACTGTTTATCTCCACTCGCGATAGACTCTGCAGCCCACCCTCACCTCCTGTCACCTTTGTGCCACCAGACTCAGCCACAGGGCTTTTCCCAGCCACTGGGCCAGGTGTTTGCAGTCCCCGTTATGTGACTGCTTAGCAGCCCTACTTGCAGCTCAGCTTTTGGCCACATCACCCAAAGACTTGAAAAAAACAAAAGCCATGTGAGAGAGAGACTGAAATATATTTGAGTAGAAAAAAATTTACAAATACAAAGTGAAAGGTCCTGGTAAAGGTCTTCATGTCTCCCATTTAGGAATAGACACATTTTCCATCCTGCTGATTGAAAAGAGCACTGAAAGTACAACCCTGAAACCAAACCTCTTCTATGGAAATACGTTGTAAATTACAGATTTTCATTGCCGAGACTCCGGGGTTTTGATTTTGGCTTTTGCTGTTGTTTTTAAGATTTTGAAAACACAGATTTTGTTGTTAAAGAACTCAGACCTCTGAGTTCACCAGAGCTAGAGTAAGGGGTGAGTGCCCTCACCTTTCTGGGATTTGGTTTTCCCATTTGTGACCCAAAACCAACAGGCATTGCTCAGGACAAGTGTGAGGATCAGACATGGTTGTGTTTGAGAAATGTCACTGAACTGTGATGTTTTATGAGCAGTGGTTTCTGTTCCAACGAGGCAGCTCCTCTACAATGCATGACCTTGGACAGACAAACTACAGTTATCCCCATCTGTGAAATGAGAATAAGAACAGTGCCTTCTTCGTATGGTGCTTTCAAGAGTTAAAAGCCTCATGAAGTCAGGCTCTTAGAGCAGAGCCTGTGGGACATACAACACCCTGGAAGCACCAGCTAGTATCCCAGACCTCTGATAAATACCATACTGGGCCCTTTTCTTTGGGGAAGGAATTGCTAATCCTAAAAAAAGAATTTCCCTTTTTTTTTCTTTCTCGCCTGGGCTCCTGACGTCTTCCTAGAAAGGAGGCATCTGGTTCGAGGCTCTGCCTCTGCACCCTCTAGCTGGCCTTTCTCTTCCATGCACAGAAGTCTAACATTGCAAACTGTCATGTGCATGCTTTAGGAGATGAGATACTGGCTGAGGTGGCAGCAGGAAAGAGCTTTTTGAAATGCCGGTGTCATTCTGAGGGCTTCCCAGAGGGGTCTGGTCTCCAAGTGCTTGACTGATTTGCATCACCTGAGCCAGTGGCAGTGTCCACCATGGGATCCCGCAAAGGAGTCTGCTGCCATTGGTGACCGGGACAGGTTGTGTCTCTAGAGTAAAGTCCCCTACACTACAGTGCCTTCATGATGCTTGAGAATCAGGGTTCCAGCTGGAGCAGTGACTTAGCCAGACGTCCTCAGGCCACACTGTGCCATACTTTCTGTTTGGGGGTCAGGAGGTGGAGTTTTCAGGGAGTCTACGCTGAAGATGATGCTAACAGGTACTGAGCCCTGTGCTGTCATGATTATTTCATCTGCACACCAGCTTGTGGGGAAGGCCTTGTACCATCACCCGGCTTTTACACCTGCAGGGAGTAGACATGCGGGGGACTTCATTAGAGAGAGTACAAGGGAAGCAGAGTCTGCTTTTTGTACTTAAATGAAAGTAGCTTGTTCTGGACATAAACGTTGTTTATGTTAATTCTAATGAATGCAAAAGGGACCAAAAGCATAGTGAGCTGAACACCAGCAGAGACAACCATGGTTAATGCCATGGCGAATGCTGCCCCCAACCCTCTCCCTGCATCTCTCTCACTCACACAAATTTACGTAAAGCAGCCATGAACATCAGGTGCACATCTTCCCAGATTGATACAGAGCGGCTCCCCCTAGCAATGAACACTGATAGATCCACCGTCTGCAGGGGTGGTGTGGCCTGGATGCATTCCCCAAGTTCATGTGTTGGAAATTTAATCATCAACATAGCCATACTGAAGAGGTGATGGGATCGAGAGGCTCTACCATTCAGAATGGATTTAATGCTCACATCCAGGAGTAGGTTACTGACGAATTCACATGTGATTCTTGCCCTTTTTTTTCTTTTTGCCTTTTGCAATAGTGCATATAGAACCCAGGTCTTTGCACAGAGCTACATACCAGTTCTTTTTTATTCTGAGACAAGGTATCACTAAGTTGCCCAGGTTGGGCTTAAGTTTGCAAGCCTTCTGCCTCAGCCTCCTAGAATGCTGGAATTTCGGGCATGCACACCTCACCTGGCTGCTTCTGGCCCTTCTGCTTTCTGCAGTGTGGGAAAGGCCCAGCAAGAAGACCTCTCCGAGGCAGGCCCTCTGACCTTGGATCTCTACCTCCATAACTCTTAAGAAATAAATCTTGGTTCCTTACAGAACACCTAGCACCAGGTAGTCTATGATGGAGCACAAGACTGGCTGGAGGTGTCACGAGTCTTAAGAAGCAGGGTTTGTATCTTCTGCTATCTCTGTAGGTTCTCAGGGTCAGAATGCTTAGGATCAGGTTTTAAGCACAGGGCTGCACAAATGTGCAGATTGAATCCAAGATCTGCTTCTTTAGCTTTTTTGTCTAAGCAGATTCACTCATCCAAGGCCAGTGTCCTCTGTGTCCCTCCCTAAGGTTGTCCCCAACCTTCCCAGTCCTCCAGCATGGACTGCCTCACAGGTTGCGGTGGGGGGAAGCAAGCCAGTCTGTCTGGTGTTTGGCCTTTCTCATTCACAAGGTAGCAGCGCCTTCGATCATGACCAATCCCATCACACAAAACGTCAGGGTGCCTGCTGGCGGGGAGGCACTGGAGTGTGAATGTCCTTTATTGAGGTCACAGGTGACTACTGCCTTTCTTCCCTTGATGCAAGGCCCCGCATCATAGCCATTCCATACCAGCTGCAGCCCCTGGAGAAGGTCATCCTCTTGTCTCAGGTTAGACAATATGAGCATGGAGAGGCTTGACAGCAGCTGCTGTCACCAGCAGGGCAGGCAGGGGACAGGTTGTCAGCACAGATCCCACTCTCACACCCAGCAGCAGCATGCTGCTGCCTTTGGCCAGTTCTGTAGGGACAGAATGTGACCTTGTGTTCAGGTGCTGGGCAGTGGGAAAAGGGTCACCTGTGTCTATCGGAAGAAAGAAAAGGACAGGAGGCCAGAGTGTGTTAAGCAGCGTGCTGTGCCTAGAGCCCCTCATGCCCACCCTGGGAGGGACAAATTATGATCTCCCTTGGCAAGGGACACTCCACAGTTCACACGAGGGAAGTGACAAGCCAGGCGATGGGGTAGCCAGTGACGAGCTGTCTGTGAAAGCAGTGACAATGGCAAACTTGGAAAGTCTCAAGGGTTCCTATCTCTGGGAGTGGAGCTGGCTCTAGGGCATCTACATCTAAGTTTGGGCCTGGCAGGAGATTGGCAAATGATTGGCTCATAAATTGACAACGTTCGCTGTGCCTCAGCTGCCCAAAGCCCGCTTAGCACAACCACCAGTGAGCTCCTCGGGGAGCACCCTTGGGAAGCAGCCAGGTGAAACATCCAGATGAAGAGCAGAAGCGGAGCCAGCACTCAGAGTCAGCCTAGAAAGCAATGGGTGCGACTGAGTTAGAAGGAAGGTTGACTCCACACATCTCATTCTGGGTCCTCCCAACCCTCACAAGACCGAGGTGAGTGAGTTCTCTGAGTAACACTTAAGCAGAATGTGGTGGCGCACACCACAGTCCCATCTACTCAGGAGTCTGAGGCAGGAGAATCACAAGTTCCCGGGGACAATGTAAAGAGATCCTGTCGCAAGTTTTAAAAATGAATTTAAAAAGGATGCAGCAGGCTGGAGGTGGTCGGGATTGAGAGCGTGCTGTTTGAATTCCTGGGCTGCATTTGGTGTGGTTACCAATTCAAGTGCATAATCAGTTTGGAGCCCATCTTTGGCTAAGGTGTTAGATTAAGCCAAAATATTAGACCTCAGACTTTGGGAAGAAGGCAGAGTGGTGATCAGCAGAGAAACAGTCCCTCAGAGATTTGGTGTCCAGATGCTGAAAAGAAGGAAAAGGAGGGAAGAGGGTCACTGGGTCCCAGCAAGGACATGGCAGGTGGCACTTTCTCCCTGAGCCCAGACTCACCATATGGGAGCGACAGCTCACATCTGCAGCTGCACAGAGACTAATGGCTACCTCAGAGGTCTCCACAGAGATACATACCAGTGGAACACAGCAGTGGACACAGCAGACTGCAGTGGCTGGTGAAGTATTTGCATCCAGATGCACTCCAGGAGAGGGCAACTGACCAGTAGCCATTTGGGCGAGGGGCCAACTGAGCTCAGAACTCAGCAGCTGTGGGCTGACTTCATCTAACAGCTCCTGGGGACAGGGTGAGGCCAAACTAAGGTCAAGGAGCCAATTTCAAGCCAGCAGTGTGCCAAGTTCAAGCTGGCTGGAGTCACAGGGACTGTTGCAGGCTGAACAAATCAGGTTCCCACCTCACAGCCAGAAACCAGCCTGAACTTAGTGGAACAGAAGCTTCAGGCTTCCTGGAATTAACCACTGCCCTGCCTTAAATCTATGGCTAGATTTAATCAA